TGAATTTTGGAAGATTTATTTTCTTTATCCTAGAGATTGATGCCGAATATCATCAGAATGATACACTTCATCCATCAAAGTTATATTCCTCAATTAGTTTCGGAATCTTCATTGTCAACTCATTACCTAAACTATGCTTACCCTACGCACAGAGTCTAGTTATAAACTACCTGAAGACGGAAGACGTGATGAAGCTCTCTTTTAAGAAGCGAAGTCGAACGAATGTGCAGGCTTACCCCGAGAGGCTTACCTCTAACCAAACCCGTCTGGCCCAGATCTCTACTCCCGCATGTCGAAGATCTGGCTTTCTGTATGTTCCTTTCTAGTTGTAAAACAGAAAGATGATTATCAGAATGAACAATCTTTCTTCTATAGCTACAGGAGTCATAAAGCCCCCGTGACACCCCATCCCCGCTACACACCTTCCCCTGTGAGAGAAAATGTATATTCAAGTAGTGTGGGGGGGATTACATGGGTTTGTAGCTATAGTCAGCTGTAGTCTAAAGCATTTCATACCTTACAGTCAATGACTGTATGAAGCAAAAACAGGATGAATGCAAAACACGTTTGGATTAACGTTATCAAGTCCCGTTAATCCAAAAAGTTAATGAACTGGAATATAAAAGAGCAATAATTTAATTCTCACGAAAATTGAAATTAGTTGTGAACGATAGCGTGACACTAATTGGAAAACTAGAAAAATGAGTGCAATCAATACGGCGAAACAGTTTTGTTTGTATACCTTTGTTGTTTACATTGTTTACAATGCACGTAATCTCGGGTAAACAAATTCAATCATAGACATAACAATCTGCAGTTTGGTGTTGAATTGATCAAATATTGACCGAATTCAACAATCGTTGAAATCATTGGTCACGTAATCCCTTTGGTAATCATCACACATTGCCGAGAGTGTTGATTAAATAAGATGACATACGAGGAGAGCTTCTCGTTTGGGTAAACCTTTTGCAACTTGATTTCACTCTAAAATTTGAATAAAGTAATCGAGATTCTTGCATTTCTGTACAATTTAGAGTATTCACTAAATGGTTTTGGATTTATTCTTTGGTGTTTCCCTTCGTTTACAATCTATTTTACGTTTCAAAGTGGTATCTAAATAATATTATCTGGCAGGTCATTGGTCAGTGCTTCACCTGGTCTGGCAGGTGTGTGACGTAACCAAAGGTATGCTCACATGCTCTGCATAATCAATTGAAAACGGCCTAATTAAATAAATTGGGGCAAATTACATCACATGTATATGTTATCAGACTGACATAAAGGGTTTGTAAACACATGTTGACAAGTATGAACAAAGTGGAGGAATTCATCAACGATACGAGCATCAAGAAAAGCAACGTCCTGCTGAGCTTCATACGTTACTGTAACACAACATAGGCATATTTACACATTTATCCACTGTAAAAATAAAATTTATTTTTTTGAAAATAAAATTTTACCAGTGACATTAAAGTGACCCAATACTTCGGGTTTAAATCAGATTAAAAAAGTGGGAGGCATCATTGACAAAGGATACTGTTTTTTTACTGATAATTCAATTTTCAAAATGTTATTCAGCTTTTTCACAAAAATTGTGTCAGTTAATTATGCCAGCTCGCCATGGGAAATCTATGAAAAATACCTGCATTGTCTGAAAATGCCTTAAGTTTGTGCAACAATGCATCTTTTTTCTGAACGCGTGGCATTTATTGGTTACCATGACAACTGGATTTATTAGCGTCCCCATCGCAGCATCCGTAAATGATACATTTCATATTCCTCATAGTTAAAAATGTCGCTATGATAACTGCACTTGCACCTTTTGTTTTAATCACCTGTCTATAAGTAATTTACCCATTTTTGAAATTTGATTCCAGTCTTGTTTATAAACGCCACTCTCTCTAAAACTTCAATGGAAATTCTAAATTTCTTGCATTTCTATACAATCAAGACCAATCATAACAGCCATGAATATTAAATTTCTTGCTTCTTTCTTTCTTAAGATTTTAATTTGCATTTTAAAACATTTCATCACGACACGTTATCCGAGGGTCGCCGGCAAGATTGGAAATTTTAACTGATCAACAGAAGGCGTCGAGGGATCCAATACATAGGATCCATTGATCTTTCTGATCATTTATGCAAATTGAAAGCAGATGCAATCCAGGAAACAAAGACTCAAAAATGTGTATTTCAGTCTGGAAGTTGCGTGAGCTCTCGAGTTCACCTCCAGGCTGTAATTGTAAAAACAGGTTGATTAGATTTTAATTAGATTCTGGAAGCTTGATTACAGTGAACGCTACCGTGGTTTTTAGGATCTGGACCCCGGGGATCCAGATTCCCTGATCAAGTTTCCAAGGTGATCAATCACATCAAACGTGATTAACATGGCTATTGGGGCCATTATATAATTAAATTACTAGCACTTTCACATGATTTTGTACCCTTTGCATTCGTTTCTTAAAAGAGAGCTTCGTTCATAACTAGACTCTGCGTGCAGGGTAACGATTACTCGTTTATAGTGGATTTAAACTAGTCATACACTATAACTACTTCAGTCAAATAAAGGAATCCGCAACTAAATAAAATATATAAATGCTATCAGTCCCTATTCTTTAAACTATCGTACATTATATATAAACTTATGCGAAATCAAACCACTTTTCCAATGTGGAGAGTTTGGTACTGTCGGGATGGTGTACACAAACATAGATCCCTTCACTCTCTGAATAATGTATTCAGGATAATTCCTTGCCAAAACCCATTTTATAAATCATGGATCCCTAATCTTTAGAACAAAAGAGAAAGACAATACCTTGGCCAGAATGGTTTAAACAATAGACAGATGATTTTAATCAATAATCCACGACATCGAACTAAAACAATGCACTCTAATAACCAGGGGTCAATTGTAGTACATTCCTGAAGTTAAATGTTACGATAATTATTTTTTGAAATAGAAAATATAGGGACAATGAGAGGTATTTGCAAAAAATAAAGTGAATAGGCTACGAAGCAACACTACAATGTGTCCTAAAATTCGGCCAAAACAAATTGGTCATCCAGGTTTTCGAGTTATCGCAGTGAAATATGGTTAATCGAAATGACATTTCATACAGGAGTTCATCACGTTCATGGAATCTTTAATTGTAAACGCTGTAAATTAAACAGCTGATTTAAAACAATCCATTTCACCTAATATCCCAGGTACATCTTAAAATTGCTATCTGAAATTAAGATGTATATCACATATATTATGTTGAAATTTGACACTCCGTGCTCTCTAGAATAATCCATAACGGAACATTGTTTACTGTTTCAACAAATTTTAATGTGAACCAAGAAAACTGAATTACTTTTTGTTTGTAGTGGACACGCAATTGACGGTATCCAAAAAATAGAAATTAATTCCATTGCATCTTTCCATATACCGAGCGCACAGGACAGGTGCTTTAAAACCGTTATTTCATCCAAATTCAAAAAAGTATTGAATAAACTATGGAATAAAAGGTGTCCAGACAATACATTAAAAAGTTTCAGCGCAAGGTGGGTCAGGGTGTTATTTGCTAGCTTCCCTTTTCTATGACTTCTCCCAGCTGTCTTGAAAAAACAATGTGTTTTATACTATATGGCATTGAAAATGTAATTGATAGTGCCTTGAATGTTCACTATGTACCCGTGTCACCTTAAAGTTCTTAGTTTTGTCTTAGATGTCAATAACGCAATCGTGAAGTTAAAAATTGATTTATTATTCAAATAACAAAAATGCCATTCATTCTGAAATGACTAGATTATCCATAAACTTCAAAAGCATGCTACGGACCAATAATACACACATCCATTATTTGAAAAATACCCAACAATAATGTGTTTCGCCTATGTAATATCTCAAACAAGTTAACAGACTAAATTAAAGTTAAAGGAGTATTAAATGTAAATGGATTATGGTAGTTACGCCAGTTCACAATAGATGATAATAAAAAGATCAAAATATTTTGAATTGTGTATGTGTGTGAGTGTGTGGGGGGGGGGGGGCAAAATGTAGACATTTTAAACAGACAATAAATCACATTTTCATTAACAGCTCACTTTCATGCGTCAGTGACATATCACACAATATTCGACATTAATAAATCCTTATCTTAATGTTTTTCCATATCCTGTGAAAACTTTTTACTGTTGAAGTTTATTGAATATACCATCATGTTATATTCAAAAGGATTATAAAAAGCAGGTACGATAATTGTGAAACATACAAGCAGCAAACACTCTACAAAAAGTTGAAAAAATGGTGAGGTTGCAAATGTTAGTAACTGCATCAATGCTATTGGTAAGTTGATTTATAAAACAAACAAGGATGAAGAAAGGAGGGTAACTCCAAAAATTCTTAATCAAAATAATACTTCGTTTCAATTTGTCGTTTCATTCAATCATGAATATATAAACTTTTAAAACATTCTTAAAATTGTGATCTCACAAGAATATGCTGTGATGTCACTCAAGGTTGAATGTAATTTTTATCATGTTTTATGGATTCTTAATTTCAGCTGAATTTCATGAATCTAGGAACACACGTGACTTTTTAAAAAACAAGCCTAGTTTATATTTTTTGTATTTATTCTGATGTAACAGCCTTTACAATTCATACATAAAATATCATATCAGTATATATTTACATTTTGTACATTTTTACATAGAACCTTTAAAATTTAGCATCTATTTACATCATTCTAAAAGTCTGGAATACTACACATTAATATGCTTTGAAGTCAGCTTTTTCATCTTCAAAATAACTACAAAGATGCAAGACAGGTATGACATCTATAGATGGCATTAGAGAATATAGCATACTGAGGTTGCCCTCATAATGTCCCTACTGATATGCTGGACTATAAAAGATCAAATGTTCATGTACTGTTCCCTCTTACATGTGACCAAAGTGTTAACATGGACAGTTTGCTGTACTATAAAAGGTTACATACATGTGCTGTACTGCTTGCCTTATAATGTCCCTATCGTGTTAGAATAAACAGATTTGCTGTACTACAAAAGATTGAATATACATGTACTGTTCCTCTCATACATGTAACTATAGTGTTAACATAAGCAGTTTTGCTTTACTATAAAATATCAAATATACATGTACTGTTCTCCTCATACATGTGATTATCAAGTGTTAACATAAACAGTTTTGCTTTACTATAATAAGTCAAAATTACATGTACTGTTCCCCTCATACACATACCTAGTGTTGATTGCATGTACTATAAAAGGTTAAATATACTGTCCTCTGAGAATGTATTAGCTCTGTCAAGTTTTGGCCTCTTAGCTGCTGGTTTATCACGAACACTGCTAGATCTCTTCACAGCCTGCAACAGTGAAGAATCATGTGTAATGAGAGTTTAGTCAAAAAATCATTGAACATTTAATACATCATGAGTAGGATGCACTATATACATTTAAAAAGGATATGGCATGTAACGTTTTTTGGATCTCTTCAACTTGCTGTGCTTAACAAATTTATTTCACAAAAACAGTACTAGTTTTTTGCTTGGCACACTTCATTGGACCATTTTATCTGTGGTGTCTGGAGACAGGCAATGGTGATGTAAATGGTATATTTTTGTGAGTTACTACCCTAAATCCCCATTTAACAATCGACCCTCTGACTATTACAAACAAGGCATTGACATGTAGAATGGCACTACCTGCCATTTGATAGAGACACCAATTGTAGAATGCCAAACACCAACATCAAGAGACTATAACAATATGTCACTACTTGTGGTGGTGACATAATAAAAATGATTTTACAGTTTAAATGTTGATTAGACCATAACAAGCTCAAATGTTGCTTTCAATGCATAGCCTTTTATATTAGTTTGAATAAATGAAGTCATGAATTTTCCTCAGGTGAATTTCCTACTAACCAATGTGATTGGATATAGGATAGATCACAGAATCATCTAAAATTCAAAGAGTGTAGATGAGATTGAGCTTTTGTGAAGGGTAATAACTTACCGGCTTCTTTTCCTCAGCTGCCTTCTCATTGGGTGACACAGCAGCAAATACAAAGTTCTTAGAATTACGGGGACCATTGGGGTTGCTCACGGACTTGGACTTTCCCACTATCTTCTGAAGAAGACTCTGATCTCTGCTGAGGAATGAACCATGCTTCTTTTGCTAAAATAATAAAGTTTCATCATGTATTTAATCATAATAGGCTATATTTTTACTGTTTGATCTCATCATGGCCTGTATGAAACAGCAGGGGTTTCACTAGAATTTCTCACAACAGGCTAAATAAATGAAAACAACAGGCAAAATTAATGGAAACCATATATTCAACATGGAAAAGTTGATAAGTCCCTAAAAACAACAGGCAATTTTGTGAAAACAACCGGTGAAAATTGCCTGTTGCCTGCTGTTAAAAATCCCTGAACAGTTACGAGATTTTTTTGAACTGGTCAATACAATTGTACAAACATAATACGAGTTATAATGTACATGTACAATCATTTGAAAAAACAATGTAATTTACAATGCAGATAATGTGTAAGGAGAAGGCACTTTAAATACATAGCATATTCCATTAAATTAAACTTACTGAGAACTTGAACATTGTTGCTGGTGATTTGGGCACATTTTCTACTTTTTTTGGCACTGAGGTTGTTTTCGAGGGGTCTTCGGAGGTTTCACCTGCTGGTGCCCTCTTTTGTTTCTGTTTGAAAATAATCTTGCCAAGTTTCAGTAGTTGACTGTCATCTCCTGCGTCTTCTTCCTTTTCCTAGAAATACAAATTCGAACATTAATATATGTACATGTATATGAATACACTATACAGGGTATCCATTAAGTCTCTACGTTTTACACAGACTTTTGTTCAGAAATTGTAGAGACTTCATGGACACCCTGTATATCATCAATGCATACTCTGCGCAGCAGAATACCCCTAACAGACTCACTTCCATATCACTGTTCCACAAATAGTTACTTTGACGGAACGTCAATGTAACAAAATGGATGAACTTTCTGGATACAAGTTTTTTGTTTTCTCGATTTAAGCCTACTTATTAGTCAAGTTGCGGATTATCATTTGGCACAAAATTAGAGTCTAGCTCTAAAGAAATGCTCTAACTTGACTTATAAGTAACCATGGTATTCCATGGTGCGTCCATGGTAATCCATGGTTTACCATGGAAATTCATGGTTTTTCATGGTATTTTCCATGGAAATTCATGGACACCCATGAGGATCTTCCATGGATATTTACCATGATTTTCCATGGAAATTAGTGGTTTGGTAATTGATTTTTCATGGACATGTCATGTTTATGCCATAGCACTTGGGTTGTAAAATCTACAATTTGGGCAGGTTTTGTTTTTCCCAAATCTTCCAATTGAATCAATGTTTTAAAGAATGAATCCAAGCTGGATTGAGACTAATCATAGAGAGAATATGATGTCCCCCTCAAATTATTGGGAAGGTCAACCTTTTTGACAAAAGATGATTTCAGGCCTGAAATACAACCATGTTTTTACAATCTGAATATATGTTTAGTCATTCTGTACATAGTGTTATATGACAAAGAACTTTTTATTTAATAATTTTTTAATTGATGATTTGACGACACAATTAAAATTAATAAATGGTTTGCTAGGATTTTTAATTGCTATAATTTAACTTTGGCACAAACGTAAAAAAGACAAAATAAGTGATGAAATCAGCTCACCGGATTCCCTTATTGCAGACTAAATAAACATTTTTACTTGGAGTATTTCCTATTTGGTTTTATTTGATCAACAATGAGTTTTTGACTTGCACTGTCTACACTCACAGACAATAATAATTACTGAAGAGGAAGCACAGGGGAGTGCAAGATTATCATAAATAATAACAATTAAGATCAGAATATTTAAGAAGTATGCAAATTAACTATTATAATCGTCGCAGAGATTAATTTTTAACATTAATTTGAGAGTTAAAAAACCTAATTAACAAAGAACAATAGCAACCAAATATTTAAAAAATATGCAAATGATTATATATTCCTATTCAAAGACAAATCAATTTTTGATTACTCAAGGTATATGATTCATGTTTTAAGCCAAATGGTGTTGTTACCCCCCCCCCCTCTCCTTCATGCAACTTCTTTTTAAATGGATTATATATAATATTCTTACCAAGACAAATTGAATTTTGATCACTTAGGTATTACATTTCAGTTTGCAGCCATATACTTGTGTTTATCCCCAATCTCAATTTCAAGTCAAAATTCTGAAAAAGTATATACTTTCTGTTGATTTTTTCAGATAATGTGCTTGTAAAGGATAATTTCATTTAGAAACATAATGTATTATTCTTTTCTTCTGCACCCCCAAGACCAAAAAGTATGGACTTTTAAAAGATCAAAAGAAAAACCATGGAAAACCATGGCTTTTGATTGCACTTTCTGAAACATCAAAGAAATAACCATGGAAAAGCATGGCTTTCGATTGCAATCAACTGACTTCCATGGCTTTTGATTGCAGTTTCCTCAACTTCAAAGAAAGAAACCATGGTTTTTGATTGCATTCTCAAATGTAAGAAATGTAATTTAAGAAAATAAGTTATTTATTTACTAAATTATTTCATATTGATTTTTATAACTGAAAAATTAAAGTAGTGAAAAAACAGAGCTTGGGCTAGTTTGACTTAATCTTTTTCAAAGGAAAGAAGTGTTTGGCCTAAAAAATCAGCAATCTCTATCTAGTCTTGATCCAAGAGCCCTTTTAACAATTCTCTTTGTAATCTTATGGCCAACTCTGTGCTGCATTATCATATTTTTTTAAAAGAAAAGTTACCTAATTTTCACATATTTTCTCATTTGTAAGGAAGCTGAGTTTAACATTCATTAAATGTTCTTGCTAAACCCTAAAAAATGAAATGTCCACCCTTTTTTCTCAATGATTCGTCTCAGTCTAAGTGGGATAATCATCAATACATTCATTTTGAAGATTTTGGTAAATACAAATCCGACCAAAATTGTTGATTTTACATCTCCATGTGTCATAGTAAAAAGCATGACACATTCATGAAAAACCAATTACAAAACCACTAATTACCATGGAAAATCATGGTAAATATCCATGGAAAATAACCATGGGAGTCTATGAATTTCCATGGAAAATACCATTAAAAACCATGAATTTCCATGGAAAATCATGGATTACCATGGACGCACCATGTTTACCATGGCTTTTTTCTTAAGGGTTAAGGTTTAAATCGAGAAAACAAAAAACTCGCAACCAGGAAGTTCATCTTGTTGAATTTTCATTGTATGATATTAAATGTTATAATATATGAACTTGAAATAAAAATGATTAATAAAAAAAGGAAGTTCATCCATTTGTTACATTGATGTTCCGTCAAAGTAACTAGTTATGGAACAGTGCATATGGCACACTATCAAGCTATCATGATACTCAGTACAATTTAATGTTAGGAACAGTGATGGTTATCAATTTCAGCCATTAATATATTTCTGAGCATTAGATGTGACATTTGTTAAAAGATAATATGATTTACCAAACAAAGAGTTTTGATTAAATCTTAATTGAATCTTTGATGAACTCAAAATGAATTAGTTATCCAATGATGAGTTTTTAATCCAATAAGGTCTGCACAACTTCAAAATAATTAAGGATATCTTAAATCCAAGGAAGCTGAAACCTATAGATGTGTACAATGAAAGTATTTCTTGTTATCTTCACAACATTTTTGGTAAGTTTTAATTTTACTTTTTTTAGAAGCAATTTGCACATTCCTGTGTGGCACATAGTATGGTCTGTGAGCTTGCTACAGTCCATGTATGTGAGAAAGATGTGATGAGTGTTCTCTATATTACAGTTTCCAATCAATACTCAGCGGAGCAATGTAAGAGAGTGGAACACGATGGCCCATGCGCCTATTGTGCTGCCAACCAACAGCCAATAGACAAGAGCTAAAACAAGTTTTCTTTGTTTTACAGTTATGCTCAGCTGAGGAATGTAAGACGGGAAAAGATTGTGGTATCGATGCATGCTGTGTGGCTAACAACCAGCCTTTAGGCAAGAGGAGCTTGATAGGATTACTGAGGCCCTGGAAAAGGCAACAACTGCCAAGTTACTTGGAAGGAGGAATCTGCACCCCGTTAGGTGTCAAAGGAAGTGGTAAGGAGACACTTTTACTCAAGATAACTGTATTCATCATAAAACAGCTTTTACAACTTATTGAATATTCCAGAATGTTTCAACAATATGAATGATAATGCTATTATATAGCCACTGAAAACCCAAAAAGCAAGGGGTAATCTAAGCAATAAATAAATCAGTGGATATAATGAGGACAACGCTGTAAAGTTTGTACTGAAGAAGTTCAATTTGATTTCATTGAATGCAGGGTGCTTGGTGGGTGCAGGTTCTAGCTCTAATGATGAGGGAATGTTGTACATGTGCCCCTGTCAGTCTTCACTTAAGTGTGTAAGAAATTATCTCCCTACATATGTAGGAGGACTAGGTAAAATAGGTAGGTAAAATACAATTTTTCCATTTAAACATGGAACATAAAAAGTTTGTGATATCAATTTGTCACAGTGGTGATCTGATTTATTAGATGTAGAAATACAATGAATAAAGGTTTAATTCTGGAACTGTAAAAATGGTAATCCTAATTAAGTCCTAAGTTACAAAATTAAAAAAAAAATTGTATCTGAATGATATTGTACACTGTAAATCTTATCATCTGGCTGCCCTTGTATTCATATAGCGAAGTGTTTTATCATCATTACTTCCCGGAAGTTATTACATTTTTATTTTACAGGTGTTTGCACAGAGTGAAGATAAAGCAGTAAGAGAACAAAATCATTATCTTTGTGGACATAAAATTGAGACAGATCATAGAATAAAATTGTATTGAACAATTTCACTATTTGTCCAAAACGTTGTTGATAATCTTATTTTTCCCTGATGTTCACCGATTACTATATAAGAAAATGACTGCATGATTCTCAAATACTAGGTCGTTGTGGTACAATTGTAAATATATATCAAGTCAAACCATCAATTCATTTTATTTGATTAGATTTCAAACAGAGACATGAATCTTGCTTTTCACCATGACATGTAAATTGTAGTTTATTGTATCCAATCCAACCATATTTGATGATCTGTTTAACTAGGATAAATGTTTAACTACGATAAATGAAAGTCATTGAATGAAAGAAATTATAAACTAGAAAACAGCTCCACGGAGCAAAATTCGAACCAAATTCATTCACTTTTTGTACTCTTTTAAGAAAAATTGCAGCCATTTTGATATTCAGCTGTCATCTGGGAAATTCCTTCTCAAGCAGTGCTCCTTGAACCAAATTCTTCAACTTGTATTTAAGTTACGAAAGTTTTTTTTAATGAAAAATGGCACCCATTTTGAAATTCAGCTTCATCTTAAAAATTTATTCTTGGGCAGATTTGCTTCTCTTGGCATTAGCATATAAAATGTGAACCAAATCTGTCCAATGGTATTTGAGTTATCACCCGGAATCCCGGATGGACGGAGGCGTGCCCTGTATCCCTCTGAACTTTGTTTAATGGGATAAATAACCGCGATATCAGACATGTGGTATTTGAGTTATAGCCCAGACTGACAGACAAATGCACTCTCTATAATATCACCATTTTCATAGTCATAATTATTACTAACATGAAACAATGACTTGTTTGCTGAAACTTTGTCATTGCTGATCAGTGATTCAAATCACATTAAACATATTTTCCATTAATAGTAACAAGTGAAAACTTCAAGTGAGTCACTGACATATAAAACCAAACCCTTGTACTTGGACTGAAAACTTTCAGAGTATTCACAGACAATGAGAGGAGTTGTTCAAACAGTTATTTTCTTAATTGTGTTGGCTACCTTGGTGAGTAAAATCTAAGATGATTTTGACAATTTACAATTTTTAACGCAAGAACAGCATAGAATGGAATGAAAAATTACTTATTAATATCTCAATTGACTAACGATATTCAATTGAAACTGAAGTTCTAAGGTTTCTTATATCTTTTTTATAAATGTTGCCCTTGATGCTTTTGCAACAGTTATTCAGGGGTGTTTTAAATATGTTCTCATGAGAAACACCACACAAGCATGACCAATACTCACGCTATAAACTTTATTAAGGCATCTACAATAGAACCAGATAGAGTGAAAAGATGCAAGAATTCCAAACAATGTAAGAATGGGTGCTGTTTAACTAAAGTACAACTTCGAGGAAAACGAGGTTTAGATTACAATGGAGGGATATGTGGAACATTTGGAGAAATCGGGGATGGTAAGAACTATGATAATTTATTTCTAAGGAAATTGTGGTTTAACATAGGCAACACTCAGAACTGGTGCATCCCGTTTACACCCCCAAAATGCAATCTGATTTTCGATGCCGTTTCGGCACCAAATGGACTGGCTAGTCCGGTAGCAAATTTAAGTGTTCAAAGGTTTCGGTGCCAGAATGGTGCCGGAACAGCGCCAAATTTTTCCGATGCCGAAACGGCACCGAATTATGTTGGCTGTGTAGACAGAAGTGTACAAATGTATGACACAATCTACCAATATGAATACATGTAATATACAATTCAGGATTTAATCAAATTAAGTCACTTTCATAATATTGATTCATGTTATGATGGGTCTATTAATCATTTGATTGAGTTGACTGAACTTACATACGAGTATATTAATTTATTCTGACTTTGCAGATTGTCTGATAGCAACTGATGGTGCAATAGCTCCCCCTATTGGTACAGAATGGAAGTGTCCATGTGGGGATGGCCTCATATGTGATGGTAGTGGCCAGTTTACACTTCCTAATATAGGGGAACATGGTAAAGCATATTCTAATTTTGTACACTTTATCATTTTAGAATCAGGGTTGTGTTTCATTGTTGTCCTTGCTATTTAGTTTTTTTATCCATTGAGGGAAATAAATATGGAAAACAAAAATTCAACAATATAGCATCATTGTCCTTTCTTAATAAACAGTATAATGGGTGCTACAACTGGGCTCACTGAAAAAGTAATAATTCTTTGTTCAAGAGTTTCAGTACAAAACTCGATTGGTACTAGTATTTCATATAAGAGTGGCAGCCATTTTGAAATTGGGTGATCTTTCAAACCAGGAATGGCCAAAAAGCATAAACCAAGAATTCTAGTTGTTTTTTCATTTTGCAGGTGTTTGCACAGAAGAATGATCCAGCAGTAAGAGAAGAAAACCATTATCATTGTTAACAACTAATTGTAAACGATAAAACAAACAGTAAAATATAACTTGTATCGAAAAATTTGCCTAAAAGTCTGTTGTTGGTGAAATTATTTAATCTTTTCTAACTTTTGACAAATGCAATGTAATTAAGCTAACTTGTGATAACTCTATTACATTTCTTGCATCAAGTCCTGTTGCATCCCAAATTGTGAACAAGTTAAAAACTTACTTAGATGGGAACTAGACAACAGCAATGCCAAAGCGTAGCAAATCCCATCGAACAGTCATGGCTGCCATTTTACAAAATCCTTCTGCAACTTTTTCAGTTATGGCAAAAATTCAAAATGGCCACCTTCTAGCCAAAGTGGCATAAAACATTGTGCCATGCTTGTGAGTGTTCATAAATCAAATATGAGCAAAATCGCTCTATTACTTTTTGAGTTATAGTAAGAAACGTAAAATAGCACAAGTAAAAATGGCGGCCAATTTCAAAATGCTATGTTTTGATAGATAGCGGCCATCATGAAAATTTCTTTTTCAACGGTGCTCATTTGTCCCTGGGTATATACATATAAAATTTGAACCAAATCCATCCACTGGTATTTGAGTTATCAAAGATTATGATTTTATGAAAAATGGCAGCCATTTTGAAATTCAACTGTTGCCTTTCTTAAAACGGACAGACAAGCGGACAGCTTTCCTACATCCCTCCCAACCTTCATTCCGCGGAATAATTATTTGATTTGAGATATGTTGATTGAAAATGACATTTAAAATTTGAATGCTGACTTTTATTCAAGCTGCGGATTTGGATTGGACAAATCAAGAAAGAAGAACACATGTACATGGCTAAAAGCAACACATTTCAAGAAAATTGAATGGTGAAAGACGCAGGTCAAGGGAGTGGTGGGTTTTGGCGGGTCCTCCTTACGAGACACTTTGGAAAAATGAGATTTGATTGAGTGCTTTTAAGAGTAATATAGACCCATTACATAAAATTTAATTTTGGAAGAAAAAAATATTTTCACAGGAAAAAATTAAACAAATAAGACCTTAATTTTGAAATCCTTGCTTGAGCCCCTACTCCCCCCCCTAGAAATTGATTGAACTCAATGGGGTCAGATTTTGGTCAATTTTTTCGTGAAATTTCCTGAAATTCCTGAAGACTTTAAGCCATGCATGTATAACATACAAACCCCTACGCACCACATTAACCACTATTGAACAGGATGTACCATTTCAAATAGATATTTGAATAAATGAAAAACATAAATATTTTAAATAAAGTTTCACAGCAGTCTGCATTTAGTGATCATCATAAATCATTAAGATGTGGGATGAGATGCAGTCAAACACACAACATTTTTCATTTCTATTTGATTAGAACTCAAACAGGGAAACGCTTTTCATCCATGACATGTAAATTGAAGTTCATTGTTTTTAACCATATTTTATGACCTGTTTAACTATAAATGAAAGACATTGAATGAATGAAAGAAGTTTTCATTAAGTTTTACAACATTACTAATGGATTAACAATTACTATCGTGGAACAATGGCTTGTTTGTTGATATTTTATTATCGCTGGTCAGTGATTCAAATCACATAAAACATATTTTCCATTAATAGTAACAAGTGAAAACTTCAAGTGAGTCACTGACTGACATATAAAACCAAACCCTTGTACACAGTTGTATTCCGCTACTTGGACTGAAAACTTTCAGAGTATTTACAGACAATGAGAGGAGTTGTTCAAAGAGTTATTTTCTTAATTGTGTTGGTAAGTAAAATAAAGAGTAAAAAGTAAAATACGATTTTGACAATTTACAAATTTTCAACACAGGGACAACATAGAATGGAATGGAAAATTACTTGATAATATCTCAATTCACTTACGATATACAATTAATTGAGACTAAACTTCTATATCGTGATACAGTTTTTTGTTATTTTTATAAATGTTGCCCTTCGTGGTTTCATAACAGAAAGTCAGGGGTGTACTAAATATGTTAGAGAGAAATACCACAGAAGCATGACCAATACTCATGCTATAACATTATTTATTAAGGCATCTGCAATCAAACCAGATGTAGCCAAAAAATGCTCCCACAACGTCTATTGTATGACGACTTGCTGTTTAGTAAAGCCCAGTTTAGGAAACGATGAAAATGAAGGGATATGTGGAAAATATCGAAAAGTAGGAGAAGGTAAGATCAATTATAAGCTTATTTCAATAATAAGTTTTAGATCAATTATAAGTTTATTTCTGAGAACATTATGGTTTAACACAATCAACACTCAGAAATAATGCATCCCATTAAGACAGAAGTTTATAAATGTATGACACAATAAACCAATTTGAATAATATACAATTCAGGATTTAATCAAATTAAGTCACTTTCATGATTTAAATTAATTTTAAGATGGGCCCATTAATCATTCTGTTGAGTTGTCCGACCTAATAATATATACAGCTAATAAAGTTCATCTATTCTGACTTTGCAGAATGTCTGATAAAAAAAAGTAATGAAAACCTTCCTCCTCCTGGTAAAGAATGGATGTGTGATTGTGATTTTGGGATGGTATGTAAGAGTTATGAAGAGTTACCAAGTAATCCTAACCATAATCCAATAACAGGATATGAAAGAGGTAAAGTATATTCTAATTTTGTACACTTATCATTTTTGGAATTAGGGTTGTGTTTCTGTGTTATCATTGCTATTAAATTTTTTTCATCTGAAGTATTTTACAAATAAATGTGTTACTAGTTTGATGGACAAAAGGTCCAAAATCGACAACTAAAAATTTACCGAGAATGTCCAAATACTAAGCATTTGTAAATCATTAGAAGGCCCTTGGGAAAGGTTTGGGGTTGAGTGAACAAAATAGTTTTTTTTACAAAATTATTTCATAAATCTACTTTTTACAGGAACATGGGTTTTTACTATATACCTTATAAAGCTAACAAATGATCCAAAAGTGAATTTTGCATGACAGAAATGGTGACCATTTTTAAAAAAGGCGAGCTTTTGAACCAGGAATCATTAGGGAGGAGGGGGGGGGGAGGGTATTGATGTTGAATAAAAAAAAAACTCAAATGGGAATCTTATCCACAGAGGTTTTCTAGTAAATGGTCCAAAAGTAAATTTGCAAGACAAAAATGGTGGCCATTTTGAAAATAGGCGAGCTTTTGTACCGGGACTCAATGGGGGGAGGGGGAAGGGGTTGGTATTGATGTTGAACAAGAAAACTTAAAACGGGAATCCTATCAACAGAGGTTTTCTACTAAATGGTCCAAAAGTGAATTTTGTGAGACAAAAATGGCGGCCATTTTGAGAATAGGCGAGCTTTAACAAGAAGTCATTGGTTTTTTTTGGTATTGATGTTTAACAAAAAACTTAGAACAGGAATCCTATCAACAAAGATTTTCTACTAAATCATCTAAAAGTGAATTTTGTGAGACAAAAATGGCGGCCATTTTGAAAATAGGCGTGCTTTTGAACCAGGAGGGGAGAGGGGTTCGGTATTGATGGTGAACAAAAATAACTTAAAACTGGAATCCTATCTACACAGGTTTTAAAATGTGCCACTATTGACGGACAGATGGAAAGACAGACTTGACGGATAGACACCATGTGAGCTTAAAAATAAAATTCAATAATACTGACTCATTGTTTTCTTAACAAACAGAAAATGGGTACTGGGCTGAGTCACTGAAAAAGTAATAATTCTTTGTTCAAGAGTTTCAGTACAAAACTCATAAGAGTGACAGTGATCTTTTAAACCAGAAATAGAAAATAACATTAAAACAGACTTCCACTTGCTTTTTTCATTTTGCAGGTTTTTGTACAGTCGACGAACCAGGTGAAATGTAAGAGAAGAAAATCATTATAATTGTGAACAAGAAATCGTAAACTATTAAAGAAACCATTAAATAAATATATAAACTTAAAATTTGCCTACAAATCTATTGTTAGTGAAATAAATCTTTTCCAGCTTAGTGATGACTGCACAATTGCAATTTTGGAATAACTTTCTCAATAATGAAAGAATCTTCATGATTTTTATATGCTATATCTCTGAAGTTGTTGATGCTATACAAGTACAACAATCTTTCTTCTACTGGACACTCTATTTAGTTGACAAAAAAATCAGGAATCATTATTAAGAAAGTTATTGCAAAATTAGTAGTTGGCATTTTTTGAGTCACCCTGTATAAACAAGTTCAAATTTTAAAAAAATCAAGTTAAAAACTTTCATAGATGAGAATTGATGATTGGACTCTTTCATAAAAAATATCTGCAAGATGCTTGAAATCAGAAATAAATATTTCAAATATACTCTTGCTTCTCTCTGCTAGTTTGGAAATAATACTAGAAAGTTCTGTGTAGTATTTTTGATGACTTCTGTGCATTTGTGCAGATATCAATACTACAATACAACTTCTGCTTGCCTTGGTCCATTTACAAATAGACGCACACTTACAATAGCCCAACTGTTCAATACTACACATTATAAAGGGATGAGTACTTAATCTGAGATAAGTTGATTGAAAATGACATTTAAAAGTTTAATGCTGATTTTTAAAGCTACGTTTGTTGGACAAATCAACAAAAAAACAAGAACACACATGTTTACCCATGTATAACATACATCCAAACCCCCATGAACCTAATAAACCACAATGATACAGGATACACTATTTCAGATAGATATTTGAATAAATGAAAAACTGATATTTTTATATTAAGTTCCGCAGCAGTCTGCATTTAGTGATCATTAAAAAATCATTAAGATGTGAGTTGAGATGCAGTCAACTTTAAAGGGCAACATCAATTTAAATCAATAAAACTAACTAGACGCATTTGCTTTCAAACAAACTTCTAGAAGACAAAAAATTGGAGACACACAATATGACAAAAATTGGACTCTTTGTATTTATTTTTCTCACCATAGTTACAACATTGGTAAGTATTATAATACAACAAAAACATTTGCTTTCACTCGACTGTTAACATTTTAAATGAAATTTACTTTCTTCTGACAAGGGCAGTGTCTGTTTGAAGTGTAGGCATTTTGTTATTAATTTAACGATCTGTTACTTCCATTATCAATAGACTTTTAATCAAACTTAGAGTAAAGCAGTGTTAGAAGTTCTAAATTGAATTTAAAAACTAAATGTACCCTTTTCAATTCATGAGGCAATTGATCCATCTACTATATTTAACTTCTTACAAACTTTGATTGATTAAGTTTCTAGAAAAAAAGACTACCAAGTATCTAAAGTTAAACTCTGAAAATTCTGGAATTTTAAAAGAATTAGTGGCTTAATAGGTGAATACTGCAATTACTTAATAGGCATTAGGATTAAAACAGTGCAAAAATTCGAGACAATGTGGAAAACGGGCATGTTGCGTTGCTGATAATCAGCCAATTGGAAAGAGAGATTTGACAAGTGTGCTTTTGAAACCAGAACCATATGGAGGCCACTGTGAGAGACTGGGAGAACTTGGTGATGGTAAAAACCACTATATTTATTAAATTAATTAGTTTTAGAATGATATGGAACATTGAATTTAAATTTCAGAAAAGGGTATTCATAAATATTAATTTTTGAAGATGTGACAATTTTCAATTCAAAATACCATGCATCTAAACCAAGATCCTTTAAAATTCATTTAAATCTATGAGAAAAACACAAATGTTTTTATTATGTTTGTATTATGCCACATTATTAGTTCAATATTTCTTTTTAAGTTAAATATTTTTATAGTAAATTACAACACAGGTTTAAACAATCTTCATTACAAAATGATATTATATAATGTTATTGAACAAAATTATATTTGCTTTGAATTCAAATAATTGTTGTTTTAGTTTAAATGAGTTTATTTGAAAAATGTTAAACTCATTTCAATAATTGTAGCTTGCTTAATGGCAACATTTGATCCATCCCAAGGCATGTATTGGAAATGTCCTTGTAGAAGTGGCCTGACATGCATAGGGAGTGGCATGATAGAGGTTCCATTGGGTGAAATAGGTAGTTCATTATAATAACAAGTACTTTTTGATAGCATGTGTTGGTTCAAAATTCTATTTTTCATATTTTGTGTTAGAATAATTCAGTATGTAATTTTACTTTTGGTTGTTTTCCAGGGAAATGCAGTTATTCAAAAGAGGTATAAGGATATCAGCATTTTGGAAGACAATTTTGACTATAAAAGGAATTTAATAAATATACTAAAATGATCTAATCTAACTGTGTTTGTTTGTATAAAGACTGGCAGATTCAGATTGAAACAAATTTTCAACCACAAGAAAAGGCTCTCACCCGTTGCTCTTCAAGCCATTTTTCTCGCTCAAGACGTTTCATTCGCCATTCAGCCTCATTCTCATGTTCAGCCTCATTATCATCTTCCTGATCAGATTCATGGTTGAAAAGGTCTTGCTGGGAGTTGGAATCTGGAATGATGATAACAAAAAAAAATATATATGTATTTCTCACAATAGTGACAAGCAGGCGAAACATTCAAATTTTCACAATTTTGATCATGATTTTCTCACTTTTCAATTGGGTGCAACTTAGGTTGGGTGATTACTAATGTTTTCTTTTGATAAAATATATGTCTGATCCCTCGGCCGACACCCATCATTACTTGAGTGGGCATCGAGGCAAAATCAGTTTATATAGGTACATATTGGTCATAGATTTTAACTACAATAAAGCTATGACTTCTTTTTCAAAATAATGTACCATGTGTCTGAAATAGACAATTGTATCAAGTGGGTTAAGACACACTGTGTTAATCAAACTTAATCAATTTTTCTCGTCATAGTTCATTTTTTATATGTCTGTAGAGTCAATATCAAAAGGCTTTCAGGGTATTAATTTTTATGTGTTCAGACATAGAACCCATTGAAATCTTCGCCATTTACAATACATCACAATTCGCACACATAAGCACAACGTTTGGTACTTTGAGAAGTCAAAAGAGCTACCTTGTAATAGCAGAACTATAAAAATACAATAATTGAAACATGTTTGTACAACATGAACATAGCATACAGGTACATAGAAATATAAAAATACAATACGGTAATAAAATACAAGAAGGTACAGTACAGTTTTTGTTAAAACGGTATCTCTAATTTGTTAAGAATAAAATTCCATTTTCTAATAAAGAGTGGCCTAGTCTGATTTTCTGTTGATCTTCCTAATTCGTTTTTTATTTTGTTTCTTATGATATTTTTAAACCCATTTATGTTGATAATCGAGTTACCCATTTTAGAGGAGTGAATGTAATTTTTTGCGTAGAGTAGGCAATAGTTTAGTGCAGATTTGTTGTCATTTTCTGGATTATTTGTGATGCCTAGTAGTATTTCCCTATTGTTTAAATGAATATTATTGAAAAGAATTGACATGTCGTTCCAGAAGTTCACTACTGTTGGGCAATTTATGTAAAAATGGAGAGTATCGTCAATTTGGCCAATTATTTTTTTATTAAAGAGAAATAGATTGCATGGCGTGAGGTTTAATAGGAGTTTATATTGAAAACTGTATTTTTGGCTCACGGGCTACTCCAAAGGGTAATCTAAAAGTTGATTTCCATTCCTGTTCGGAGAGGTTGTATTTTGCGTTGAAATATCGTTTCCCTGTTGGTTCTTTAAAAATGTATTTTATGATATACCAGTATATTTGTTTTGTGGTGATGTGTTTTATATTTATCATAGATTTTTTTACTTGAATGTCATTTGCTCCTAGAATTTTAATATTTTCATTTTCATTTTGCAAAAGCGTTTTCCAATTTCTCGGGATTGCATGAATTATGCCATAATATGTTACGAAAGGCGTAGTGATATTGTACTTCTGAATGAAATCTTCGTATCCTAGTAGTTCTCCATTTTCTTTTATAAGGTTTTTAATTTGTTTAACACCTCGGGTTTTCCAATTAATGTAATTTACCGTTTTATTATTTATTGTTAACCATTTATTGTTCCAAATAGTTTCATTTGTTATTGTAGTTTTATCATAGGGTTCATCATTGTGAATTTTGCTCCAGGTTTTCATAATTGAGAGATAAAAAGGTGGAACATTATTAAAGGCGTCATTTTTGCTTGAAATATTTCTTTTGAGTCGAGATTAGGCAATAATTTGTAGAAGAAAAGTTTCCATTTAGCCCCATTGTTATTATATAATCGCTTCACCCATTGTATTTGTAACGCTTTTATCTGTGAATCGAAATGGATGGTTTTAATTCCTCCATTTTCTATTTCTCCTATTGTCGTATAATTGCTGATCAGGGGTGGTTTTCAATTGACAGTACTCAAAGCGAGCTATATCTCTAAGATGTTGAGACAAAAATAGAAAATAAAATGAAAAGAAGCTTATACCTATATTTGCCCATCGGAAGCGTCTCTGCCTGCCACCATTCTCAGCATAAAGGTCGCCATCAGGGAGGTACATCTCCTGCATCAACTTGATCTGACGATCATCTTCATCTATGATGGTCTTCCTGTAACATAACCATACAATCAGTTAAATACAACTTGAGACACTGATTTTAAGTTGGCATAGGAGTCTTCAAATGATGGCACAAGTGTGAGATGCAATCTTTTTTATCAGAGATTTGTATTAGCATTTTTTTACATGTCAAGTACAAATGTACAATCTGTTTATATACATGTATTTATGCAGTTTGCATCATACACAATGACAAGTAAAAATGTGAAGATTTAATGAAGATTTGAAATTGAAGGAATATGAAAAATCAAAATTTAGAAAAACTTACAAATGAACTCTGCCCACTTGGTCTCTTAGATGTTCCTCTGGTCCAACATCATCTTTATCTCCCTCTTCCACTTCCATAATATCCTCATTCTCATCAAGGTCCAGGTTTTCGTCACTCTCAACTTCACTGCCTGACAGCTCAGCCTCACCCTCAAGGAACTCTTCACGAATCCGCCTGAAAAATCGGAAGAAGTTCTGGATACCACATTTATCCTCAGAAAGATATGTAAGTTGACTAAAGGTACCTCGATGCCTGACAGGCCAATTTACTCTGAAAGAATGAAATACTTACTAAAAATTGACTCAAATGCACATTTTTCATGATTTTTCTCATTTTCAAGTGGGTGCAAATGGATTTTCAGGTGGGTGCAAGTCTATTTTTAAAATCGCAGGTGGGTGCTGTGCCCACTTGCTTTAATTAATGCTGGGGGGATCACTGACACTTATGACATTCTCCCAAATGCAGTTTTGTGAAAACCCAAGAAGGTACATTTACCCTTTTTTAATTAATCCTTTGAATGGTTTTGCTTCATCATCATCTTCTTCTTCACTTTCATCATCTTCATTCTCATCAGCATCTTCAATAGAGTTGTTGTCACTCTCACTGCCCTCTTCATCACTAAATATGTCATTTTTCTACAAAGGGAATATTGAAAATTATAACAAATACTGTGTATTTATTGTAAACATTAAACTTATTCAGTTATCCAGTGAAAATAATTCATATCTTCTTGCAATGAGAGATGAATTCTTCAAATTCTTCAAATGTTTTTACAGGTCTTTGGTAGTAAACTTAGTAGTTTACCATGAAACTTATGGCAAATGACGTATTCGATTAGGTGTAAATTTTCATGAAATTATTATTTTGCATTCCATGCATTAATATGTAAAATGTCACAACATGTCATTTGTTTCAAACTCGGAACACCAACCACTGTCATAAAAGGGTTGGAGACCAAAACAAAGTGTCCCAACATTTCGGTGGTGCCATAATAAAAAACCAGCGTGGACTTAATATGACCACAGACATTCAACACTATCAGCACCTACCTGTATTTTGATGTTTTCTTTGTTAACAATGCTGTCATCATGATCAGATAAGGTTCCTGCCCCAATATCAAATGATGCATTACTCTCATTGTCAGATTCCTCAGCTTTTTGGCTCTGTTTCGAGTAGGTTTTCATTTGGGTTCCAAATTTTTGTGTTCCAAAATTTTGAGTTCTGAAAGAACAAAGCAGTTCTCTAGTCATTTGGTGGATGCTGAATTGTTATGTGTATTTATTTTTTCTAAATATACTATGATACGTCTGTTGAGGATTCAATGTAGTTCTCCTTCATGTTAAGCCATATGGCTTTAATGGTCAGATTCTCAAGATCTTTCATAGAAGACTCAACTCAGTAGAAAATACACAAGGAGTCAATCTCAGATAAGATCAAAGCTTCAACATCATCCCATAAAAGCCATATAGCAATTTAATTCAACTATATGTATAAGTTAAATATTCTCTAAGAATAATGAAGTGTAATATCATAGTAAATTCAAATCAATTAATGTTGAATTTCTTACCCCTCTGAAAAATTCCCTGAGCACAATCCGATCAGTTCATCCATGCTCTGGTCCTCCTTATCTATCCCTGAGGCCCCAAACAGGGATTTTGCTGCAGCTTTTGATGTTGTTTTTTTCTGTGTAGCTTCTGAGAAGTTCCCAGAACACAAGCCTATTAGTTCATTCATGTCCTGAGAGCCACTGTCTCCAAGATGTAAACTCCTTTTTGCTGGTTTCTTAGCTGTTGACTTTAACCTCAAGAATCTGCAGTATAAAAACATGAATACTTAAGAGTATCATTTAGCAATATTGGGTGGAGACAGTAACGTATAGCAATGCTACAATATATTCAGTATAACTCTAAATGGAGGTTTGAAAATGGCCCATTGCTAACTTATAGGTGGTTTGGTTGTTGACTCGATTAATCTATAACTTGTCATAGAATTATAACTTGTCATAAACATCACATTTTAATCTTACCCATCAGAGTCTAGTAACTGAGAATGAGTGTCTTCTTCTAAGGCAAAATGGAAGTCAGCCTGTGTATCTGGTTGATTCCTGGGAGTACTCTCCCCTTGTTGAGACTGTAGGGGACTGTTGAACAAGTCTTGAGAGTCTTCTATGGGGAGCGTACACTGAGCAAGTCTACTGTTAGATGTCTGTAAGAGAATATTCAAGACATTGATACTTTTTATGTAACATGTAAAACTATGATTATCCATCAGTATTTGTTTTTTGTTATTCAATATTTATTTTGCGCAAATAATGCCGTGGTCACATTTGCTCCGATTTTCAACACTGGCACCGGGTCGGTGAGTATTTTGTTCAAAACTGAATGCAATTTTGAACAAAATTTTCATTGGCCTGGCACAGGTACTGAAAATCGGAGCAAATGTAACCACAGCATTAATCAACTATAAGTCTCCTGTATCTCCAATTGCAAAGATCAGAAGAGGAGAGAATACAAAAAGTAACATATAATAGAAGATGTGTGATCATAGAGCTTTAAATGAAGTATGGTCAGATTCTCAAAATCATTCATAGAAGACTCAAACTCAGTAGAAAATACATGAGGATCTCAGATAAGATCTAAGATTCAACATCATCCCATGTAATAAGTCTATTTAAAATATGCTTCCTTGAAATGCATATTCATCTGTTCAAGCTCATTGTACATGTACACACAAATCAAGAATTGGACCAACAAGTTCACTTAACACTGTATATATTTTAATTAAATTCATTCATTCATTCTAAATATATTAGAACAAGTTGGGTGTAATTCTTTCATTTTCATGACTGACATTTTGACCAGACTCATTGCATTGAGGGAGACACACTGCCGATTAAACAAATCAAACAAGCTAAAAGTAATATTTTATCATACCTTTGAATTACTATCTTGACCTGGTTTGCCAAATTGAGTGAACATTTCTGGGGTGCCACGGCCATTTTTCTTCCCATAATTCTTCATTCCTCCGCCAGGTTGACCTCCGGGAATAATTGAACCCTCAAACTCGAAGCTTGTATCGAGGCTGCTTGCACTTGCATTGGGATCTGTTCTCTTACTTCCCAAATTAAATGGCTTTTCTCCTTTGTTCCTGTGTTCTGTTGTAATCAATTGAAAAGTATGCGTTTAAAGCTGATACAAATCAATAACAAGGCATTTACATGCGAAATGTCACCACCTACCATTTGTTACAAATGCTGAACACCAACCACTGACACACCACTTGCGGTGGTGACAATATAATTATGCAAATTAACCATGTATCTGGTATTTTTATTATAACCAAATAACTTAACAAATGCAAGCATTTTTGTTTATATTCTTCATCAAATTGAATTTCACTTGTGTTAAAGACAAAGTGTAATATTAATAGTTCTTCATTGGCAAATAATGAAATACTGATTTCAAGCTGCATTTATGATCAACAAATCGCATTAAAAGTACTAATTGTGAAAAATGTGGACATTTGTGTAAGAAAGAAACATGCAAAACTATGTTAGTACATGTAATAGCTTAGGGGCGGGGTCAAAATATCGATGTTCATATGGAGACGAAAGTACTTTTGCGAGGGGGGGGGGAGGGGGTTTTTGGGCACTTTCGTTGACCAAAAAAACATCGATAATTCGGATCTGATATACAAAAAATAATTGGACTTACCCACTTTTTCTGGCGCTATGTTCTGATAAAAAGGCTTGTTTTCAATAGTTCGTGAGCTTTTTTGTGTGATAGGTCCAAAATATCGGTAGATAAAGACGATAATTCGATCATTTTCCAAATAAATTCCGTACTTTTCCCTCCTCCTTTTGAAGAGTTCAATGCAGTTAAATTGCGAACGTGTGTTAATTCACCGTAATAATAACCCGGCAAATCACTGAAAATCAATGTTTTTTTGAAGTGACCTAAGCTTTCGTCTAGAGGGGGGGTGGGGGGGGTTGTTGTCCAAACGAAATTACTTTTGTCTCCATATGAACATTGATATTTTGACCCCGCCCCTTATTTCTATCAAAAAAAGAGAAAAAGTTGAGACCTTCTGTAAGCTCAGATACTGGCTGTGTGTCTGGTAGTTCATCAGAATCTAACATTGTATTCAGACTGTCATCGGCTCTCTTCCTCTGGGAAACCCCTTTCAATGCTACAGCTAACAATACAAAAACTTAACTACATATTGGTATGCCTTAACTAATATTCTTCTGGGTCAGGGATCCTTTGAACAACATAAAGTTACAGGTTCGCAAGTTTGTGATCATTCTCCATAAATATGAGAAACAGTGATTGATTTGCAAAGTTGTAACTTTTAAATGTTTAGAGAAATTGACCAAGGCAGAGAAATTGCAAATAGAGAAATAGGTGACTGCTTGTGTGAATACAAATCACTATTTTCACCAATTGTCAGATGAGTCACATTATTTGACTGCCTTGGTTTTCATATAAAACATGGTTGAAAATCTATTCAATTCGAGCGCCACGCATTTTTCAGTCAGGGAGAACACAGAGTAGTATCAAAAAATAAAGCTGTTATCAACTTCTAAACAAATTTTCAAGAATTTATAATGTGGAAAAAATAAAGTTTTACAACTCCTAAATAAACTTTGAAAGAAACTACTAATGTAAAAAATGTTCCTAATATTGTATTCTAACAATTCAAGTAAGCATGCTCTATGTTCAAACAAACACAACAGAAGTAACATTTTAGTCTACAAAGATAAATAACATAACGTAATGCATATTTGTGAATTTTGTGCAGACCTGAGTTAATAATCATGCGATTAACCAAAACCAATCTTACGTTTAGACTTTGGCACAATGACATCATCATCATCTTCACTGTCATCAAACAGGTTAAGTGTCTTGGATTTGTTCAATCCTGGTCTTTTAACTAATTTCTTTCTGCTGGAGTCTTCATCTTCAGAGCCTGTAATATTAGGAAATGTGAAATATAGTCTCAAAATTCTAACAGGTTGGTCACTTGACCAAAGTGAAATCCAATATAAGTAGGAGCAATAAGTTACTCAATTTGGCAATCTGCTCCAAGGACAGCAATTTTCAACTAATTCTTGTTTTTTTATATATTTGGTTCAAAAGGTAAGCTCAGACTATACTAGAGTGCTATGAAATATTGCTTCTTTGGATAGTATTGTTACCATCTGAACTAGTCTTTTTAATACCACAAGCACGGCAATTGCACATGAATACATGTAATACATAACTGCAGTTAACCTATATAACCTAAAAAATATTAACAAGTCCAAGTGAAATCTGTCAATCCCTTAAAATATGAAATCTGGAGATTTTTAAAAAATAAATGTTTCAATATATTTTTGATCCATGTTCAATAATTCCAGTGAATAGTATTATCCAAGTTTGTGTAACAAAAATAGGTGCCTACTTTCGTCATTGTCATCTGGGTCAACATCAAGGTGAAGATTCATCTGTTCATCTGACTCATCATCAGCATCACAGTCCTCATCCTCTTCTTCCTCATCAGCCTCAGCCTCCTTGTCAAGAAATGGATTCTCAACCTCATCCTTACAAATAAGAAATGTTGTGTAGTCACATTTTAAAGTTGAGTTGGAAATTGAGGAAAAATTCAAATGAGGTCTACATGTCTAATTTACATTTTACATAGACAAAAATTGAAAGTTGAATAACTCATTAGATTACGATTTTAAATACTGAATTATCTAGATTATCATTGTTTCTCAAAAATACGTTATCATGGCTTTTGTGGTGAATTTTCAGTATTAAGTGAGTTGTGTGTTGTAAATACCTTGCTGCGCTTCTTCTTCTTCTTATGCCCTCCATACATTTCCTCCATCTCTTCTTCATCATCATATTCCACTTCACCATCAGTGTCAGTCTGGTCAGTAAGTTCGGCATCCTCATCCAATATTGCATCATCTATGTATGAAGCACATATAAGATTAGGCCATTGTATTTAAATTTTTGTATAGCATAACAACTTTTTTGTAAAAGGATAGGAAAGAGTGTTTTTATGTTTCTTAATCATCAAAATGATGTTTAATAAAATAGCTACTTCTGCAAGAAAAGATTAAATTATGGTTTGCTATAATATAGACTTTTTATGCTAATTAAAAAAAATTGTCAGAACCCAACATCCCACAATAGAAGTCTTATTCTTTGTACCGTGAACATAAAAAATCAGATAATAAACTAAAAAGGAAAAATATAATAATACTTGTATACTTGAATAAACTAACTGCAAATAAAACAGATTTAAAATAGAAAGGATATTTACTTTCTTCCTCATATCCTTCTTCATTATCCATTTCCTGTAGTTGAGCTCTCTTTTGCCTGGCCTCTGCCCTTTTGGCTGCCATAGTGGCTGCTAGTTTCTCTTTCAGCTTCACAAGCTTGGCACCTACAGTCAAAAAGTTACATTTCTGTCACTTAGGTTTAACATTAAGATTTTTGATCTTATCAGGATTAATAGTAAAGTCATCTTCCATATCATATTTAAAAATCAACTGGAGAGCATCAAAACTGGATTCTAGAACCTTGGTTATCACATCTAAAAGTTTAATATTCGCATCTAGCAGTGTTGAAGATCATCCTTCATTTCTATATTCCATGAGAGAACTTTTTTAATATATTATGTTCTCTTTACTGTTTCAATATCTACATGTACTTTATAGTAATGACTGTTCTACTTCTATACCTGGTAATTTCATCTTGGGGTTGCTAGTATCTTCCTCATCTTCACCAAGAGTGATCGTCATGGTATTCAGCTTCAGTTCCTCTCGGCCATCTTCATCTACTTCCTTAGTTACAGTCCTACAGATAGAATTGAGGCGGTAAATGGTAGAGTTGATCATGGTTTCCTTATTACCATTATCAACTGCTCCATAGGTTGCCTTGCTTGAACCATAAGATTTCCCCATCAATAGTCCATCACGATTCATTTCAATATACAATAATGACATCTTACCTCAGTGGTTAAGCAGTACCAAAATTGAGCAATCAAAACCCAAACTGACCATGAACCCTGCTTTACCAGATGAAGTTATTTTGGATTTACTAATATCAATACTCACTCAATGACTTCATTCTTTTTCTTCTTGGGTGTTTTTCTCTTAGAATGTTTCATGAGTCTATCCATGAGGGATGATACTCCAACTTTTGATGGGGAAGGATCATCAAGGTCAAGGTCAACTACCATATCTGGGCCCCCGCTGAGTTTAGGACGACAATCTAGATTAGCAGCATTTAACATACCCTTATTTGGAGTTTTTGAAGTTTGAGATTGAAGTTGTGTATCAATTACATTTTCTTCAGTATCATTTACAGTATCAATATTTGTTTTGTCATTGTCTTCATTCACATTAATGGCTATCGTTTCTAAAACTTCATCCTCAGTATTAATATTGTCAGTATCATCCATAGGGACCTGTAAAGTGATAACTTCATCATCGATTTCTACACTTTCTGGAACCACTAGTATATTGCTATAGTCTTTATTCTCCTTTTCCTCTGATTTCCCAGCATCTATATCGACATCTTTAACATTGTCAGTTGAGACATCTTCAGTTATCTTTTTATCCACACTTGTATCATCCATACCATTTCTTTCATTTTCAATGTCATCATTTTCATGTCCATTGGATTCCTCAGAAGTGACCATCGGTGTAGATAGAAAGCCTGAGTCTTCAACATCATTTTGTTTATCACCATTACTATTTGTATCGATATGGTTTGGGTCAGAGTTTTCTGTATTAATCTGACTAGAAGGTTGAATAGAGTCCCCTCTCAAAGGATCTGATACTTGTTTACTTAAATCCAAGTCAGGGAGATCGTTTACATTATCTTTTGGATCAGCTAATATTATTAGATCCTTTTCAGGTATTGATAATTTGGGAACTAATTTTTCAGCTATCTCTGATTTCTCAGCTTTACGCTTGAGTTTTAAACGCTCTTTTTGTTTTTGTTTTTCTTCTAAGTCTTTCATACATTGTTTTCTCAGTGTCACTTCCTGCCTTCTGATCTCTACTGCAGACTGTTTCCTGGAAAAAAATTAAAAATGTATCTATCAATGAGTGTTTTTTCAATTAAAATTTATGCAACCCTGAGTCCAGAAAAAAATTAATATTTTATCAATGAAAAGGGTATTTTATGGATTGGAAGTGTGCATAGCCAGACGCCCTCTGTGCATTGCATTAATTGGGCTTACACGGTGTCCAGAAAGTAAAGATACAAATACTCTAATTTTAAGAGATTTAGGTTTTTTGTAATGAAATTGCTACAGATTGTAGAGGAACTACATCACAATACATCTACCAATCTGAATATACAAGAAGAATTTGACATTTGACGATTTAAATATTAACTGGGTATATCGAATCATGGAAGGCATTCATAAATAACAAGATAATTTAAATCTAAAATATTTAAAATTTTCAAACATTTCTGACTTTTAATTCTAGTGCACTATACATAATTAGTCACATGCAGACTTGCCTCATGTTGCATATGCCAAACTTCTGCTGTCTTTCTTGCGTCTTCTTTAGTATATCAGAGAGGGACATTGGCTTGGGCTGGTGGTAGGGAATGTGTGCCATAGATTCTGAAACATGCATTCAAATTAATAAGTTTATATCAATGTGTAGATGAGCGCACTGGTCGATGGCCAGTGAATGTTACTCCAGCTTGTATTGATAAATTACGTGACAACTCATCCGAAGTTTCTTTTTACAGAGCAATACATGGCACTTGATATTATAGATGATAACAATCGTGTGACTTATCATCATAAATGGGGACACCTCAAAGCTCAGTTTTAGTTAAAACAGTAATAGTAACATGCAGATATTTTATCCTCAGATCGGTCTTCAGTTCTTAATGTCTGTAATATACTGAAGCATGTGTAATGTAATGCAACATTTACCTCTCACGATCCTCTGACTCTCACTGTGTATAGCATTCACCTCAGAACGCTTCTGCCTCTGAGGTCTGGATGACTTCTTATTAGGATCTTTAGCAGCACCCTGAAACATGCAGAAAGTTACAATTTACATCAGATAAATGTTCTTAAATTAAAACATTATCAATTCATATAGGTATTCATAAATGAGTATTTGTCCATTCTTGATAAGCTTTGATAATTCTATATCAAGGAGTATTTAGCAAAGCATTTGTATGGAAGACAATGGAGTTGAAGGTTGGCTATATATTCCTGTATAGCCGCCAAAATCTTTACCATGACAATCTCTTATGACGTCATGTTTCATTTCTTCCAAATTTCACTCGCATACAGATGTGTAACTTCATCGATATAACATAGCCATGGAAATATTCCGTCTGACGTAATATAGGCTGAGTTTGCGATGACAGACCTCAGGCATATATTAAATGATAAGGACATAACTGCTAAATGTTCACCAGGTTTACCTTTTTAAGGAGGTTCAACATTTTAGCACTAAGCTGTGGCTGGTCATCATCAGAGTCGTTGTAGCCTTCATCTGAATGTCTACTTCCTTCACTTCCACTGCCACTGGACCCACTGGATCTTGACTTGTTAGAAGCACCTAAAGATGAATATTGTTAGAATACCTATTACCAACCACACTTTGGGGCTGGAAACCATCCAAAACAGCAATATACACAAAAAGGTGAAAACATTTCAGATATTTTATTGAGATTTTTATATTTCAAAATTAAACCCAAATATGATTTGAAACATTAGGCAAACTTAAGTCGAGCTAAGTCTTCATAAATAAGCCCGAATCCTGATCTCAATTTTAAACAATTTGAAGATATAATACAATTAAGTAACTGACCTTTCATGCTGCTAAGTGTTTTGTTTTCATCTTCATTGTTACTGGATTCACTTCCACTCATCTCAGCGTCAAACAATTCACAGTTACCCACTCCAGCAAGAGATGTCTACAATACAAGAGAAAACCATATGTTTCAATAAATATCGTAATTATAGCGTATTGGTAAGTGAATAATCAGTTTGTGAAATTGTGATGCTATATAAATATGAGTTACAGAATATCAAAATGTTTTCCAATGTTGTAGTACATTTATAAGTTTATTCGACAAAACTTGCAAAACAGAATGCATTTTTCTGTATACAGTGATAAAGAATAACCCCATAAAATACCCACTGTAAAATGCAGATTTTTGAAATCTATCATTAGCTTATTAAAACTTAGATGTACAACTTACATTTAATACTTGGGATGACGATTGGCCCGTTCTTGTATCATCTTCACTATCTCCCTCATCACTGCTAAAAATCTTACTTTTAAACCTAGAGTTCTTGCTTTTAGCTCCATTTAACTGGTTCTCAACTTTCGGTTGAGTGGTTGTTGCACCGTTTGATTCACCTTCAGATTCACCAAATGGTGACTTGGGTGTATTTGTATTAAGATCATCTTCAGATTCAGAGTCGCTGTTACACAGAGTGTTTTTCTTTCTAGTCATAGTTACGCCAATATCAGAGTCTGAATCTGAATCTTGGAGGTTTAACATTGCTTGTTTTTCATCCTTCTTATTCAATGAGGATTCACCCAGAGTATTTTTGTTGCTATGGTTACTGCTTTCATCTATGACTTCTTGATTATCTGCTTTTGAAGACTTGAGGTTTGACGTCTTCTCCATATCCTGGAAAATATTGAAATATGAATGGTAATAGTATGTTCATACTTTGTGCTTCTATCCTTTTAAAGTCTTTGAATAAATAATATAATCATGTGATCATTCAGAATAGGTGCTTGTCAATCAAAATCAAGTAACCAAATCAAATTTACAGACACCAAATTGTATGCCCTCATTAAGAGCTGGAATTTATTATTATTATTTATTATGGCATTTACAATTTTATGTTGTCACAACTGTTAAGTTTTGGCAGAAGTCCTCACTATTTTACCATCTGCGAGTTGTGAAACATGTACAACATGCTTGAATCTTCGCATTTTATTTAGCTCTCGTAAAATGAACGAACAAACATTCCATGTTCACACATGTTCGGTAATACAACTTTTCAGATCTCCGGAAATGACAAGCCAGTAGGAACATTTTGGGGAATTTTAACAGTTCATTTACATTTCTTGTATAACTGTACTTATTGTTGATCGGACGTAAAGATAAGCTGATGTAGTTACATTGGAGTTCGTTTACTACCATTTGGAAGACACGTGAGGGTCCCATTTATCAGGTAACACTTATATGTCGAAGTAAGTTCTTGCCTTTTTTAACACTTAAGAAGGAGTATCAGATAAGAGTCTCAGGGGTATGTAGGCAAATTCATTTTGGTAGGAGCACTCTGTTTACAGGTTTGAAAATCCACCCTTTATGTATCAGCACTAGAGTCCATTTCACTGCTTCAGTTCGTCAGTAGAACGGCAAAAATAAGAAATTGGGAGACCATTGTGCAATAATATATGGAAAAGTATATTCATAATGTACATGAATGACATTTGTATATCTTGGATTGCTTCTAGTTTGGCTTATAAAGTGTGTGGCCTCTTATATTTGGATGTTTCTCTGCCATGTTATTTTCAATAAGATTAACATGGCTGAAATTCTTCAAATTACAAGACGACACAGGCTTATTGCACAAAAAACTAAAAAATCTGAAATATACAAATGTCATTCATGTACATTATGAATATACTTTTCCATATATTATTGCACAATGGTCTCCCAATTTCTTATTTTTGCCGTTCTACTGACGAAATGAAGCTGTGAAATGGACTCTGTACATTTTGATCCTGGTCATGTATGCATAAATGATATGTGGACTGGAGGTCAAAACAGAATTCTGTTATCTTAGTTCAAAAGATGTCCTAAAATCAATTCCTGTTTTTGTCACTTCCTAACTATAGCGAATTCAACAATTCGATTGAATTTGTTGTTGACCACAAAAAATAAAAAACTAAAAGCGTAAAAATATCTGAGAAAGAATCGATTTACTCACCATTTCCTCATTCAGTTCATCATCTATCCCCAACATTTTCTCCTTCTATTGTTCTCAAAACAATGTGTGTTACATTGAGTGTCCTTAAGCCTAAACTATTATTGAAAACTTGAGAAAACTTAAGAAAAACGACAATACGTTTTATTTCGAAAAATCTAAAAATGGCGCATTTATTTTTCGCGGTTTTCAACTGCGCATGCGCTCTGGGAATGCCTTGTGTAAAAAGGGAATTTCCCAGCCTTCGAGCAGTTCGATCAGTGCTATCGACCTAAAATACTTACTGCTACCGCACCGGGAGATTTGCATTATGAATACCACGACGCTCTCTTTAGCGAGATCAATAGTGCAAAAATAGTTCATTCATGGAATGAAGCGTGAAACTTTCCACATATCATCAGAATACCATTCCCTTTAATTTAAGAGCCAGAGTCATTTTTGTGGTTCAGTAGAATGACCGAAAAATTGCAGATACCCCCTCCCATCAAATCCTGGGGGGGAGGGGGAGGGAAGAATTATTTTTTTGTTGATTTTCCTTTTTGAATATTATCTATATTCATTCTTAGTATGTTATTTTCAGTGTTTAAAAACAATTTTCAAGATTGCATCAGTATTTCTCATGGATATTCATTGTTAAAGCCTGACTGAGGGCGACGCCCACTTTATCAACATGTTAAATATACAAGTTAATGAGTCTTCTATTATGAATAGGAAAATAACCTAATATGGCTGAATAAAATTGACAAGATTAAGTCAGTTATTTATGTTAAGATGATAGATGCTGCAAGAAAGTCAATTTCACTGTTAAAGGCTTGTGAAAGGCAACACCCATTTTAGATATAAAGATATAATAATATATAATTCACAATAAATGATACATTATTTTGTTTTTTAATGAGAGCACTTTGACTAATTGATACAAGTTACCTTATGAAGTATCTTAATTGCAGTTCAAATATCCTATTTTGTGCATTTAAGCACTTCAACAGTCTATTATCATTATCACCGACCTTGTCCTACCATGTCAAAGGGCAGCTGCCATTTCATGGGAAGTGAGATATCTCTAATTTTTTACTTTTCCAAAGCTATCCATTTTTGAACTTTGAGTTCTGATGATATACTGACTGTGAGACAGACAATATCAGTCTACTGTCCTAATCATCAATGTGTTCTACCCAGACTTTACTGCACGGTGGATGCGCTTATTCATGTGTTGATGGGGAAATGTTTTGAATGGGCATCGGGGGATATGATAATACATCTTACAATACATTCTTTACATCATCTCTAAAAAATTCCAATTTGATGGTAACATTGCATCTTCCTTTTGGCACTGAATTAGTTTAATTGTTCCATTTTGAGATAAGGGTGGGAAGGATTGGTTTTCATGTTTGAAGAACTCCTCAAGATGATTGTCTCTATTCTGACATGCAATGAACAGTCTTGAAAAGAGAGCAAAATCATTTTTTCAATGCTGTTTCCTTGGTAACATTCACTTTTGTTTTCTGTTCCTTGAATATTAGAAAATTGTTTCTTTTTAAATAGATAGTGTCTGTCATTTGTTTAGATCTGTCATCCAGTTTTTCTTTGGTGTACAATTTGTACTGATCCTGGCCACTTTGCTCCATTTCCCAAAGATGACCCAGCTTCACAAGCAGAATGTTGTTTTATGATTATTCTCTACAAGTTTGGATCGATTAACTTAAATAGCATTACCTTCATTTAGAAATGATGATGTTGAACTGATGTTAAACTGAAATAAACGCCATCTCCACAATTTCACATTTTACTTTGCGCATGTGCTGCACATAATCATGTCCTGCAATTTGATTTTACACCGTATACTGTTGGGCGTGATTTTAGATAAATTATGTTCATGAGTACGAAAGAATATGATAGTATTATGGTAGCTACTCACTTCTTCTGGACTGATATTGAGGATACAATATCTTTGTTGTCTAATGGGTACAAGTCATTTGAAGTTTCCAGAAAGGATTTCCCATCTATTCTATGGTTTCTGATAATAGTTTCACATTATCTTTGAATCTTTGCTATATGCTTATACTTTGTTCATGATTAGATAGGTCTTCATCTTGACCATTATCTATATTGTTCTCAAATTCAGTGATCAGTCAGGGCCCCCAACCATCCAATAGAGCTGTCTGGTTGTCAAATAGCCCCACTGCTTCACTGTTTAATTTATCTAGACTGTTATTCTGCTTGTGAACCTGGTCAGTAGCAATGGCTGAAAAGCTCCATCTTGAATTGGTAACAGTGAAGTGGCCTTTTGTGAAGGCTTCATAGACTTCTGGATGTATTTGCTATAGTTGTAGCATATTCCCTATGCGAACTGGTACTTAGCAAGCTTATTGATAAGGTCAAAAAACGAAAAACCAGGTGATAAGCTTGCTAATTGACTGGAGGTAAAAGGGGAAATCGCCCTCTCTGATAGCCCACACTTAGTTAAGGCACATTATTTCGGTTCAAATAATCGGAAACCAAAACTTAAAGACTGGTACATTCTGTTGGTCAGCACACCATTCATCAAATTCTTTATCACTTCATCATCTAGATTCTAGACAGCTGTATATGTAATATAGACTCTCTTGAGAATTTAGAGACTGCAGGCTGTGACTGTGGCGGCACTTCTGGTTTTGGTTCAACCCATCAAAGAGGTTTAATAGCCTAAATGTTCAGCATATGAAAAGTGGGCGTCGCCCATGACTAGTCTTTAACAACTATGAAAATCAAAGAGAAACCATCTGGAAATAAAGAGGAAAATTCTCCTGTCCTATAGCCTTCACATAGTCAAGGCACAGTATTTCAATTTAAATAATCAGAAACCAAAGCCTGAAGACTGGTACATTCTGTTGGTCAGCACACCATTCATCAAACTGTTTAGGCACTTGGTCAGCACACCATTCATCAAACTGTTTAAGCACATAATCATCTAGATTCTGGACAGTTGTATCTGTAGCATAGCTTCTCTTCAGGAGAATATAGAGACTCGACATACATGTACATGTATATAGAATAGTGGGGGTGCACCCCAGTTGTCCGAAACCCAGTTGTCCGAAACCAACTTGTCCGAAACCCGAAAAATATAGTCATAATTTACCAGAGAAAGGGGAGACGTACTAAGCTTAGGCCAGTTTCATGCCATGTATTTGGCCAAATTAATGGCATGGACGCATTCTGATGTTCATAGATCTCTCTCTCTCACTTTGAATTGCATCAATTGCACGCGTTACCAGAATGGCAGGAACGGGGGATTTATTTTACATTGTGATTCTAAAAAAAGGTTATCAAAACACAATATATATTACGGAACAGTTTATCTTATCTTCTTCAATCTCTTTTATATAGGCAAAATAAAATGAATCATTTTGAAACAGATAAAATAAGTTTACGCATATAGTACTTTAAGAATAAAACAGTATACATATTACGTTGTCAAAATATTTCATCGCATTTAATTTCTTAGTCTCTGTATTTTATCAAATCGTAAAAGAACAAAACATTCATAACTTAATCACTTGGGATAAACTGGAAACGAAGGCAGGCTGTCCTCGTATCAAAATGGATGTTCTCCCATTCGCAAGAAGTTTCATTTTCGCCATGTGCTCACTTCATCCTTTTAATTTAATCTCTATTTCTAGAACAGAGTACGTAAATGAAGAATAAGTTTTGGTTTCAAAAGATGTACATAACTAAATACTTACTAAATAAATGCCCACTGGCTTGGGAAAGCTATTTTTCCTTTTATGAACGCTCATCACCCATTGGAAAAATGTTGTTCCCTCTCAAAAAAGGCCCATGGGCCATAAAGAAAATTGGTTTAAAAATTGTAGACCCCTATCTATGTATGTTGTGTAAACGCCATTTTACAATGAGAATAACATAATTTAACTTTGTTTGTTTGAACATCTATATCACCTGTATATGAACTTTCGTAGGCTAAACATTAAACTATTAACGTCTTGACTTAGCATATTTAGCCTAATTTTGCAATGATGTCAACGTTATTCCAATGTTATGTTGTGATTCGCAGAGGTTGCGACAACGAGATTCGTTTAAAAAAATTGTATTTTTCAAATAAGATCCCCTAATTTTCGGAGAACTGGGTTTCGGAGAACTGGGTTTCGGACAACTGGGTTGACCCCGAATAGTGGATACATGTTGTAGATCTGGGACATTGTTGCTCGCTTTCTTTTTCTTCTAAACAGGGATGTGATATGTTATGAGCCTTTAAGAAGTCAAATTCTAAGATTAATTAATAGCACCTAACATCAAAAGGTATCTGGTGTTATCCAGAAAGCTGAATTACATTCATTTATTCAACCCATGATAGAGATTTAATAACCTAAATGTTCAAGATATGAAAAGTGGGCGTCGCCCATGATTAGTCTTTAACAATGATGAAAATCTATGATAAATCATCTTGTTATGTTTGCAAAATTTCTTTACCATGAAAATAGCACACTAAAACTGTAGTATGACCATATTCAAAGAATTTTTTTTAGGAAAAAAATATTCCTATATCTCCCCACCCCCACAGGATTTGGTGGGAGGGGTACTTACTATTTTTTGATCATTCTCGTGGACCACAAAAATGACTCTGGCTCTTAAATCAAAGGGAAAGGTATTCTGATGATATGTGGAAAGTTTCATGCTTCGTTCCATGAATGAACTATTTGCCTGTTTTCTTGCACTATTGATCTCGCTACTTCAAATCTTGCATCTTTTATAAAATATCAAACTAGTTCATTGAATAATAGTTTGAGAATCTATATTCTGTAAACAGTTACACAAAAATCTTGACATTACTTTTTTATACTAATTACCTGATTACCTGCTGATTACCTGATTCCCAATGGTTCTGGAAAGAGGATAGTCTTATTTAATCCAGATCGTGTTTTTGTTTCACATTACTAGTATGAAACAATCTAATCAACGAGAAAGCGCTCTCCCCGTGGGCCCTGTGTTTCATCAGTCATCATTGTTCTATACATGAACATCTCATCCTTCAGGAAGCTGTCAATCTCTCTCTTGAACTGGTTTGTAGTTTCACAATCAATTATATGTTGGGGTAGTGCATTCCA